GCATTCCCACTTTTTAAAGATTACAGGTTCTTTTGAGTGATCTTAGTCTGAAGTGTGTCTCCTTTCATGAATGACAATTATACATATATATTTTACCTCGCAGAATACATTTCATACGGTTGCTCATTATATATACGATCTTATATATATCTTATATATAAATAATAGTGCTGCCAACACTTCGGTTCCATTTTTAAATATCATCTTTTATAATATATTGTCGAAATTTTGTTTACGACCCAAAAATGCAATGGTAAATGTGTTAGCTAAATCTGCTTCTTCAAAATCAGTGATTAAGTATGAGCGTTGCTCTAAACCTACAGCATGTCCAAAAACTTTATAAGCAAAAAAAATTATCAATTAAGCACAGTGACCTATACTTTAGATCAATTTTTGGGACGCCGCATTCTCTTACAATGTAACAAAAACCTTTCAGGAAAGATAAGAAAAAATCCTTCTTCCATTGTTTCAGGTGATATTCAGGTCTGTCAGAGTTTAAGCACGACTCTTTGTCTCCGTAGGAAGTTTCTGCCAAGAAATCGAGCAATAGGATGATAGTACTAATTTTTAACATAAAAAGAAAATTTTTTAAATTACTATATAAAGTAATAAACTCAAGCTCCTATAATAGTTTTTTATACCAATTAAAATCATTAGTTTTTATTAGTTTTTATTTAGTAGAGATTAAGTTCACTAAACTTTCTTTATCAAACGAAGATGTGTTAATTACCGTAAATTAATAGACCTTCCTGAAAACCACAATGGGATAAATTAAAGTATCACTGGAGCAATCGCATTGGCATTATACTGAGTATTGAAGATTATACTTAAAAATGTAGACTTTCACAACTTTAAATCTACTCTCCATAACAGCCTAGTTATGTCATTATTCCCCTATTTATTCGCCTAGTAAACATAGTTGGAGATTCTGTTAATTATACTATTAGCAGGTGATATATGACAGATGCATGCATTTAAAAACTACAAGTTATTCGCATGTTTCTAAAATTTTTTGAAGATTTTTTTGAGCATTCATCACGCTAAATTAACCTGAAATATGTATTGATGACATTTTTATATTTTTTCAAATTTCATATATTAAGACAAACGGTGATCATAAATCACTCCAAAAGCATTATAGCGTCGGGAAACTAAAAGGGTTTAAGAGAACAAACGTTTTTCGGGACCACTCCGTACACAGATTCGCAATAACCACCTTCGTTGGCAACACTATATTCAGTTTTGAATACAGTTACAAACCAGTATGGTGGGGCTTCACGCTTTTAAGACTAGTCCGGAATGTGTAGGCAGTGGAGAACTGCTAATTCCTCACTTCGATATGACAATTAACTTTAAGTGCATATTTATTTTATAAGACCATCAAAATGGAAGAATTTCTGCAACATTCGTACGCCTTACACATGTTATATAATTACCCAATAAGGCACTCAGATAACTGTAATATGTCTGCATGTATGCAAGGTAAAAATTATTGGAACAAATCTGAGTTGACTTGGTAATACATAGGTATATACATATACAGTGCATATGTCATTGTTCATTTGGGATTTATATTATTTGCTTCTTATTTCGATAGACAAATCATATAATTTATAAAAAATCAAATATGTTGCGCTGTTTTGCGCACATTCATATGTGACATACCTAAATTATAACGATAAAAGACTGTATAATATAATTATTACTGTAACAATAGCCATTCTCCAAATTAGTTTTTATTTCTGTTAATAATCGGTCCCACCACAATCTGTGCACAACCCATACACTGCAAGTGAACACCTATAAACAGCGAGATATGATTCCTCAATCTCTCATCTTATAATTTTAGTTATTATTTTTATTTTATATCTTGTATTATACATAAAAAAGTACATTAGGAGATGAAGAGCAAAAGCCGTAGTCGCACTGCGGTGCTCCCAAAGAAACTCTCGAACTCAACTTGCGAAAATGCTCAATACTCGTTTTCAATACGCTCAGTTAGACAGTTTTTTCGGGGTGAAAAACAGTAACAAATTGACGGTTATTGTGGTGGTGTCTGTAATTCGTTGTCCGGTAAAATCATCAAATTAAAAAGTAATAGAGTTTGGTTACAATGAATTAAAAATAAAAAAATTATATTGAAATCGTATAATTTTCTATATAATTATTTTATTACAATACATAAGAATTTAATATGACCTTTACGACTAAATGTGATTATTCTTCGACAACCGTTTGTGATTCCTTTATAATTGTTAAACAATTTTGTGAAACATTAAAATAAAAAAAAATAATTTGCACATCGTCGATATTCTATCCGATCACTTACGAAAGGCATAATAATTGATACCGAAAACTTAATTATTAAGTATTAATGATAAATAATTGATACTAAAGCTACATACTGTGGATATCTGTGCAAGTGAAATTATATATATACATATATGGAGAATCATATTTAAATTCTGCACATCAATTTTCGCGGAAATTTATTAATCGCAGTTTGACTTAAAATTAGTATTCGGAATATGTGTTCTGTGCATAATACGACTGCGGGGATAGATATCTATCTTTGTTATAATTATTTATATAAAAAAGTCGATTTCAAAATATCTTTAAATTTATAAAAATGTTGGGCTATAAAATGACTTCACAGGATAGCGTGTGTGGTTTAGCAGATGGTCAACTGGCTTATTTTTTTCTACATGCAAAAAATTAAAGAAACAACAGGTTATACCACAGACCCTTTGTTATTATTATTTAATATCTAAGCATCCGCCAAAAAAAAATTATTTCCTTGATAATAAAAACAAAAAATGTATGAGACATCTTAAATGGCATGAATTTACATCGTGGACTGCATGAATGGATTTATATTCCAATCCATTCTCGTCCGCAGTGCGGCCCTGCGAATAGTGACAAATGAAACTCAAATCAGATGTAATTAGTGATGTTAAACAACTACATATGCAAGCATTTAAATGAATATGTTATACATATGTGTGTATATATATGTACACATTTGTGTGAATTGAATACCAAGTAAGAAGAGTTCTTCTATTTATTACGATTTTTGTGAATAAATGCAAACGAGTTCAAAGAGGATATAGACGATCGACTATAAATGCAGATATTGATAAAACGGTGAAGAAAATGAGGGTGCCACCTTTTTGTAATGACTTTACGTGTTTGCTTGAGTTGAGTTATATAGTTGAGTGCTGATTGAGTTACTCTGAGCGGCAAGGAAAGATTTTAAGAGTATTGTTTCAATTGCACTAACATCTCTTATTTAAGTAATGAGTTCGCAACTTATGTGGTATTGCAATTTTTTTTTAGCTGGAGAGTCTTTTACAGTAAATGCAATTCCTAATGTGTACATTTAGAGACTGTGTGAGTGGCTTCATTGAGTTTATATTGGGATTCTTCTCAAAGCGCCCACGTCTTCACATTGGCCCCTCTTGATAACAATTAAACAACCAATGACGATTTCTCTCTGCTGCTAACTACTAAGCCGTTGAATATTTGAAGCTCCTTGTCTGTGATTATTTTTTTTCTTATTAGTTTACAGTTTTGCTGATTTATTTTTCTGCACAAAAGCAAGAAAAATGAATTTTTTCTGTAACCTTTTCCATTTATTGGTGTATTATTTTGCGCAGGGAAGTATCATCTTAACAAATTAATTTCGATATTACTTTATACGAGGAAAGGCGTGGTAGTAACAGAATGAGAAAGCTCGATGCCATTAAATCCGTTCTTTTAAAATCACATTTTGTATTTGAATAATAACAAAATTTTCATTAATTTTATTCAATGATGGTCCTTTCAGACAGAAAAATTTCCGGTTTGTTCATTTCTCTATGTAAATACTTAAATCCAAATAAACAGATTTCTATTCCATATAAATAGTATCTAAACAAACATCGATATAATTTAAACAATCAAATTAAGCCAATACTGGTATATAATAATTTTGTGAAAAATTTAAAAGTTAAACTTTTGCAATTGCACCAAATGTACCTTTATTCGACACATAATTTTACATTTTTAACGAATAATAATTTTCATCAATTTGACGTTTCAAAGATATTTTGAAACCCTCATCTTAGATCTGCAAGTTTACATAACAAAGTTTACATTTCGAATATTTCAAGCAAGACCTCTCAACAATACAATCAATAAATGACTCCAGTGATAAAATCATAATTGAACTGATCAATGGTTTTAAATAATTCCAAATATATATGCCCTACCGGCGGTAAATTAAACGATTTTGGAAACCCACGTTACTGTTTCATTTTTAGAGACAATGAAGTCCATACACTTGCTTCAGTTATTTATTGAGCCAGTTCACACGTACATGCAAAACTAAATATCTATGGATCTATTCAGTTTCCTGATTTTTTATAATTTTAAAGCAAGAACGTGACTTATTTATAAACAATGTCAAAAAGTGCATTTTTCAGGGAATATTGATAGCTGATGAGTCCCCTTTGGATCGAATTTAATTTCAATGTAAAACTGAGTTTCATAGGCATATGTGTTGGACCCGGTAAACATTTTCAAGTGATCATATATATTGTGTGGATACAAAAATAATTTATAAGTGCTTCATAGATGAGAATTTGCTAAACAAAATTGAATAAAAAGATATAAGGTGACAGATTAATTACATATTAAAAAAGAGAGCTACTTAAAGCATACCCTGCGTATGATCGAGACCTACTATTTCTACGCAATTCCAAAGCCATCTGACTTACTCTTTTCCTCTGCCGTTCAGTATTAACCGCCGAGTGGCCACATTAGGCACAACATATATAAAGATTTTTAAAAATTCAACAAAACAATATTTATATTATTTCAGAACTGAAAACAAACATAAACAAAAATGTAATTCTAAAGTTCCTGATAACCGTGAGTGTGAAATTTAATTAAGTAATCTTACATGTTAAACAAAATAAAGTTCCTATATATAATAAGATAAAACTTAAATAAGAAGAATATTAATATAAGACGAAAAGTACAAAATAATTAGTTGCGAACTATTCTAATACGGACGCAACTTATAGAAAAATGGATCATTTCAGTTGAGAAGTGAAGCAAAAATAAGAATATTTTAGTGCTCAAAGCTCATCCAAGTGAGGTAATCCGAATAAGTAACAATTGAAAGAAGGTAAGATTTGGACTCACCTTTGTAGAATAACAAATTATTTTTACACCCTTAATATTATTGAACCAGGAATACTGGGTTATAAAAAAGACTTTTTAAGTTGGCTCCAAAATTGTGAATACATCGCAGATTATACAAAAAAAACTAAATTCTCTATCAGAAACACAAGACTTATAACAATAACAAGACTAAACAGCCAGACCAACTATTAACTCTTGCTATCGGTGACCATCAATCAATCAGCTTCAAGTTAATTAAATAAAACCATTCATAGTTTTTGTGAATATAATTATATATTATATTATTATATTATATTATATTATATTATATTATATTATATTATATTATATTATTATTATATTATATATTATTATTATATTTATATTATATTATATTTATTATATTATTATTATATTTATAATAAAATGTAGTATTATTATTTATAATATAATATATTATATTATTTTATATATTATACATTACATTTCATTATTTTATGTATTACATTATATTATGATATATATTTTATTACTTTATATATATTATTTTATATATTATATTACTTTATAAATATTGTTTTATGTATGACATCGTATTATTATTATATTATAACACTTTTTATATTATACTACTTTTTTTATATGGTATAATATAATATACCATACCATATAATATATATTATTTTATATTATATTATAAGATTTTATTATATTATATTATATTATATATTATATTGTATATTATATTGTAAATTATATTATATTGTATATTATATTATATTCTATATTATATTATAATATATATTATATTATAATATATATTATATTATATTATATTATATTATATATTATATTATATTATATTATATTGTATATTATATTATATTATATTATATTATATTATATTATATTATATTATATTATATTATATTATATTATATTATATTATATTATATTATATTATATTATATTATATTATATTATATTACATTTTATATTATATTTTATATTATATTATATTATATCTTATATTATATTGTATTATATTTTATATTATATCTTATATCATATTTTATATTATATTATATATCATATTTTGTATTTTATTAAGCGGAATTCATAGAAAATGTGCTGTCAAACCTAAGAACTGATGAGGTTGGGAATTATACCAGAGATGCGCATTTATAACTACTTCATGGCTTCAAATCGGTTGACTATATTCTAGGGTTAGAAAACAACCTTGTGAATATATACAAATGCAGTTTTGATGGAAGTTGACATGTAATTCTTTAATTATCCTAAGCTTCAAGAAATCAGTGATTAGAATTTTCGCTTTGAGACTGCTAATCGGCAAATTATAGTTAAATATATGTTGTACTTTAAAATTGTGGAAGAAAACATTTTTGGGTACTAAATATATTATGGGACATACAATTTGCTCCGATGGATCTTAAAACAGCTAATAAAATATGCGTATATTTAATAATATACAAAATATAGTTATAACATTATTTTCGGTTGTTTATTTGCAAAGTATTTTCTATGATTAGTAAATGGAAGGATAGTGATGCATTTATTCCAGCAGTGGCTCATGCGAGCCACAATTTTATTGAGATCAAGCAGGACGTTTATTGGTTTCAGAATTACACATGTGCGGTTATCTTTTGTTTTTAATTGTTTGTGCCTTGATTCAGCTAAATGTTATTGGTTCAGATTCAACCACTTTTTACTTCTAATACGCAGAGGTCTTAAAACGCTGATTATTTTTTCTCTTGGTATTACCCACGAAGTGACGTGCTACGATTTCTGTTGTTAACGATGATATAAAGGTTGTTGGAGGTCACAGTTTTTTGAAATCGGGGTTCTTCAAAAATTTGTCTTGAGAACTTGATGTCCGAAAACATATCCGTTCAGTATTCCTTTTTAAGAGGACTAGTTTGAAGAAAAACCATTCCAATTGCATCGAATTATTCCATACGCTTTTATTTGGCGTATTTGAACATGTTTGGTTTGATATATTTTTCTCCCAGTTACACATCAAAATTGGATAGGTATGTCAATAGTATGTGTCATATCTGTGCCACACTTTAAATCCCCATTTAATGGGTTTATTCCTACGTAATCCCGAAAAAAGTCCATTAGTGACGATTCGCTAGTACTTTGTCTATTATTTAATTTATAATGCCATATATGTAATTATGTGTGAGGAAATTGTTTACATGTTAGAGTAATTATTTTCGTTATTACTTTGGGTTATTTCTGTAATCATAATTTGGGTATATACTTCCTTCATAATTTTGAATAAAATAATTTGGGCAATAATTATTTACTTAACGCCAGCAAGAGCATTCTAGTTGAGTTTTACATGAACGACGATATACTTTATGTATCGTTAAGTTGAGAAATGTCATTTAAGCTGTTTCGAGCATAGTGCAGAGAAGTATACACATAAGCATCCATTTACGCTCGCAAGTGCTTTTATTTAGTATATGCGTGTGTACAACTAAGAACACAGTTTATTCATTATAAGCAAATAACAAGACCACAACAACTTCGCTGTGTAGCTGTGTATGATAGTGGAAGCAAAAACACAACAACAACATGGGAAAGGCAGACAACACACAACCAATCAAGTGTTTTTGAATCAGCAGAATAGCAAAGCATAAGAATAAAAAGCAGCTCAGCTCATCTCATTTGGTTGCGTTTAGCTTTTAATTACTGATAAATAGACACAAAGCAAACAACGTTTCAGTTGGCTAAACTGTAGTATATAAGTAAATAAAAAAAAGCGCTGTGTTTTTTTGTATGGAGCGCTGTATTAAATGCTGCTTTGCAATTGGTTAATTAGAAAGTAATGGGATCTTGTTGTTCATATCGTAAATTAGAATGCTTCTAACAAATATTCGCTTATACACTTAAATACATAAAGAGAACAGTTAATTCTTTCATTATACTGAATAATAATAAAAAAACTTTTATGGATTTAAAATACATATTTAAATGAATCAATTTTTATGTTATGAAAATATAGTAAACAATTTATACGTAAAATCACAATTTCTCTAGTTACGTCAATAATACTCACTAAAAACATTAAGTCTATTTTTTCGTAAATGAAACTACAATAAATAAAAAATCGATAAATTCTTTTTATTTTATTTGAATAATAAATATTTTCATTGTATTCTTTCATGGTAAGTTTGAGTTGGAGAGCACTTTAAAAAAGGGTAGTTTCCATTTTTACCCTATATTTAATTAAAATATTCCTAGATCGCACGTTAGTTTACTTGGAAAAAACATTTTATTAAATGTAATTTTAATATCATCCTAAGCTATAATAATTAAGATTTTATCAATAATTTCGCGCTCAATAATTAAAGGAACTTTAGCTGTCGTGTCAGAAACACCAACTTAAGGTGAGAAAATTGTCCATGGCACGGTTTCATGTACCACGAAAAGTATTTTCTTGCAAATAAGATGTGTGAAATCTCTCTCACTCTATCTCGCCACTCTTGAGTCCTTCAGTACAAATGCAAGCATTTGTAGCGGAGAATTCGTTCGGTGTGAGCCTCAGTTATGTAACTCAAGTGGAAACAGTTGGCTCTTTTGCGACTACTACATGCATTATTTACAATAAATGTTTACACCGGCGTTATATAACATAACATTTTATTCGATTTTTTATAATTTCAATTCGCTTCGCTTAATATTTGGAAGTTCCCCTCGTAATGGTGTTTTGGTACTTGGGCTTAGTGGGATATGAAAATAAAATACATATATAACTGGAATATTTTTATTTCCAGTTATTCATGTTTTATTCGTTCGTTAATTCTAGTCCTAGACTATTAAACAAATAGTCATAAAGTAAATATGAAACCAAAACTGTATCGAAGTATGTGAATTAAATATTAATAAAAATTCTAAACTAATTCTCAATAAAAATTAATTTCTAAAATTTAGCTCTAACTTACTTTTTAATCAATACAAAACTCTTTTTAAAGTTTTTTTAATCTATTTGATATATTAAGATTTTATATATTATTTTTACGTTATCGGATGAATTGCATAATTTATATCATTTTAGTGGGGATGAAATTCCTTAAAACTTAATCACAATTTTTTAACTATATTTTTCCTGCAATTTATATTTTTTGGTTTTAAGGCAAATAATTAGTATGAGTATAAATCAAAAACTCATACTAATGTATAAGTAGAAAATATTTGGAGAGTAATAACATTTAATAATATACTAAAGCACTATTTACTATTTACTAAATCGAATAAGGAATAAATGCACGTTCCCCTACATTGCCAATTGCCATAAGCCACAAGCCATAAGCACTGCACTGTACATGTTTTTTCAACTAACAAAAAACAATAGAAGATAAAGTTGTCATTAACAGTCTTTGTTCTCTTGAGTGTGTTGAGTGTTTTGGTTTATTGCTCCACTCAGTGAGCTGAGTGAAATATTTTTAATTAAACGAAGCTTACTGTATTTACCTATTACTATCACATACTCAAATGCACGACGCTGTACTAAATTTAAAGGAGAAAAAGAAATAGCACGCATTTTATTTGCATGAAATTAGCGCATCATTATTTTCATTTGCTGTTGCCTCATATTTCGCTATGTGCGCGAAAGAGTGAGTAAATTAGTGTAGATATATTGTTATATACATTTTATTGGCGTTAGTTGGGATGCTGCGTTTCGGTTTCATTCGCTTAGGTTGCCATTATACATTTTTGTCATAACATATATATTTTTTAATATGTGTTTTGTTTTTAGGGAACGTGTATTCAAAGGGTAAATAAAGTCGCGATGCTTAGCATAGATTCTTCTTACTGACAAATACATACACATACGTACCATTTAACAAGTAGGCGTGAAAAGTATATGAAAAAGCTTTTTCTTTTCTTTTTCCCCCCCACTCGTTTGTATTCCACATGAAATATTCCCGTCTGTCGCCTCTGTTTTTTAATTATGTTTACGAGTACATATTTACA